CACACTGCGACAAATCCTGGAAAAAGCCGACGAACATAACATCGACACTCATCACCTTTTTGTCGATTATAAAGCAGCTTTCGATAGCCCCATTAGGGATCGCGTTTACGCCGCAATGTCTGAGCTCGGTATCCCTGCAAAATTAATTCGGCTTTGCAGAATGACGCTGAGTAATACCCGTAGCTCCGTCAAGGTAGGATCGAGTCTCTCTGAACCTTTTGATACCGTGCGAGGCTTCAGACAAGGTGACCCCTTATCATGTGACCTCTTCAATTTCGTCATGGAAGTGATCATGCGCAGGGCAGGTGTTCATCGTAATGGAACAATATTCTACAAATGTGTCCAGCTCCTTGCTTACGCCGACGACATTGACATCATTGGGCGTAGCAAGCGTGATGTTACAGCTGCTTTTGCTGCTATCGAAAAGGAATCTGCAAGAATGGGTTTAGCGGTGAATGAGGGAAAAACGAAGTATATGTCGGCTACTGGTAGAAATGTGCGTCGCTCGGACACCGGGCTAGTGGCTGGCGACTATACTTTCGAATCTGTCAAGGATTTCATCTACCTTGGCACCGCCGTAACGAATACAAATGATGTCAGTCTGGAGATCAGACGAAGAATCACCATTGCTAATAGGTGCTACTATGGGCTCAGTAGGCAATTGGGATGTAGAGCTCTCTCTCGACAAACAAAACTTACGCTCTATAGGTCGCTCATCCTCCCTGTGCTTCTGTATGGCGCAGAAGCATGGACGTTATCACAGAATGATGAAGCAGCACTGGGAGTGTTCGAGAGAAAAGTTCTTCGTAAGATCTTTGGTCCTCTACGAGTTGGCGACGACTACCGCATAAGAATGAACCACGAGCTGTACGAGCTTTATCACGACATTGACATAATTCAGCGCATTAACATCCAGCGGCTTCGCTGGCATGGTCATGTCGTGAGAATGGATGAAGACGCTCCGGCGAAAAAGGTGTTTGAAGCAGTAGTTGGCGGAAGAAGACGTAAAGGTAGACCGTGTCTCCGGTAGAGTGATCAAGTTGAGGGAGCACTAACTGGACTTGATATACGAGACTGGAGAAGACGCGCACGCAGCAGAGGCGCCTGGGGAAACATGCTGCGTCAGGCCGAAACTCGGTAACGGGTTGTTATGGCCACATAAGAAGAAGAAGAAGAAAATGAGGTAAACCATTTTAGATAATCCTTTAACATTTTTAAAGTAATTACTACAGTCTGGAAGGCTCTTAATGCAGTTTGACTATCAAACATTATGCACATAAAAGTATTCCTGTCATCTTCGTACGGACATACCTTCGCATATATTTTTCGCATTGAAAATCTTTATTTCTTCGCATTGAATTTATTTTATGAATCTAGGCTATTTCATTTCTGCACTGGTCTTTTCCGTTTAATAAATTAATCTTTATATACCGAAAAGAACAGTTATTTAGAAAATTTTAAAGAAAAAAGCAGCAACAAAAAATTGTCTTAACTCTTATTTAATTATTATATATCATTTTAGCAACTCTCATCCTTAATATTATGCATGCTTCATATATATTAGCTTTTTAAAATAAAACTCAAAAAATAATAATTAAATTTGCTAAATATTATATTTTTCAGAAAAATTTATTATCAAGTGCCTTTTATTTTTCTAAGCACATATAGTAAACTCTTACACTCTGCTTTTTATTTTCATTTGTACGTGGAAAAATAAAAGGCACATGATAATAATTATTTCTGAGAAATATATATTATAAAGCAAGTTTTATTATTGTTTTTTGAAGTTTTATTTTAAAATGCAAATAATGAGAGTTACAAAATGATTTTTATATTTTTTTTGTGGTAATTGTCGCAATACTTGATTAGAAAGAACACTTGTTTAAGGTCGATTTGAAAATATTTTTTTGTATTTTTTCTTGTATTAAACTCTTTTGAAAAGTATTTCATTGAAAATCAATTACTGTAATTTTAAATTCATATTTTTTACTTCATATAAAAATAATGCAATTTTGATAAAAACAGCATATTTACTTCACTTGGCTAAGATACTGCGAAATTGGAATAAGTGCCTGTAATTATTTGATGAAGCAACTGACAGTGGCAAAAAATGAGGAAACTGAGTTTCAATTGAATGAAATTGTTTTAATGAAAATCTTTCCACTATTTGGTTTAGAGTACGTTCCAGAAGGGCATTTTATATGCTCAGATAGGTAGATGAAGCGATTGAAATTTTTTAATATATTTTTTGTTTGAGTTTAACAATTTTGTGGGTACATCCATAATTGATTTCTTGTTTGTCATAATTCTACTTCGCTTCGTGGTGCGGTCCCATTGCATAAGTTGCAACAAGAAATCAAGAAATATTTTTGGGTTTAGGTATTAGTAACACGTTAACCTCCTTGGCTGCATAAGGTCCATTCATCCATCAATCCACTTTGCCCATGTTCGTTGTACTCTGTCTACCACCCACCTACAAATTTGGCACTGTCGTTTGGCAATTGAATTGTTATGACGTTATGCTGTTATGCCTCTTTGGAGTTATTGAAGGCACTGATTTCTTCAGCTGATTTCAATTTTGGCTTTTTATATTCAATTGTTGTTGCTTTTATTGTTGCTGTTGACCAAATCGCTGGGAGCCACCGGTCATTGTGTTGAAAATGTCTTTTTTTTACATCTTTCAAATAAATTCACTTTGAATTTATGTTTACTAATAAAATCGACTAAAATTTGCTTTTTTCCTGTTGATTTATTTATTTTGATTTTGCTGCATTTTATCAGAAACAAAAGTCACGAATTAATAATTTTTAATGTTTGTCTGTTTATTTCATATTTTTCATTTAATTTTTCGCAGAAGAAAAAAAACTTTTTAAAACACTACATGCTAAACGGACCTTGATTGTAGCTAAAGGGGTTGTCTAGCATTTATGCCACATGAAATTTGGAAAGCTCTTAAAATATTATAGGTGTAAATGGAAAGAGGAAGTTAAGTCTATTTTAGTTGAACTGAAACTGAAATAGCCGCAATAGAAACTCATCCAAACAATTTTTATTAGCAGTTTTCTATCTTAATCATTACATTATTATAATAATCGTCGAACTGACAACTTATAGAAAATATTACGTTAGCGACAGCTTCACACTTAAAGTATCATCAGACTAAGAGTGCAATATTTTCTCAGAATATGTAAATAGTCAATTATGTGAACAAGAATCCAGCTAAACATTAAAACATGGTATTCCATAGAGTAAACAAGATACTGAGTCGATTATGTGAACAAATAAATTTCTATCCAATTACTACACAAGTTAACACTAAAAAATGCTGTCACAAAACTAATACTGCCTTGCAGTAAAAATATATGACTGAATTGATCCTAAAACGATGAAAAATGTTCAAAACCTTTACGAAAACAATACCTTACTTATGTAGCATCAACCGTAGATATGGTTAGCACTATATTAGCAGAACTAAGCAGTGGCTCCAAATATTCGACCAATGATATTTTGATATTGGATGATATAGAAATAGTTAAAACGGACATTATGATAATGGTGATAAGGATAACTAAAGAGATACCAATGAACATCGAAACACGCAAACCATTACCTTATTTGAAACTTTGGCCACTTTTAATAAAGCACCGACTTAGGAAATGCATCTTTTTAAAATTTTAAGAATCATTAAATACAAACGTATAATAATAAGATATATTCTCTAAGAACCTATGCTTTGCTTTGGTCATTTTAAAAAGTTTCTTTTGCATATGGGACACCATTCTACCTGTCTTTAAATAAATATGTTCTTGTAAAAAGTATTAATGTGATTGCTGACACATTCCTGTGGATTGAATGGTGATTGAATGGCGATTGAACGGACAAATTTCAAAATTTCATTGGATATTTATTTAATAAAACATTGGACATGTATATATATTTTTAGTAGAGCTAGTATAACAATAACTCTATCTTTATCCCTACCATTATGAAATTTATTTGTAATTTACTATTGAATTTCACATTTTGTCAAAGTTTTATTATACACATTCTGTCAAAGTTTAACCCATATCGTACGATTAGCTTTTGTTTGGCGCCTTTTTTTAATGAAATTCAGCTTTTTTGCCACCAGCCGAGAAGCGACGCGTTTCAAATCCAAAACATCAGTTAAAATGTGTTCGACCGATCCATATGAGATGCCCAACAACAATGCAATCTCTCTAATCGGTTCACAACGATTTTCCAACACGTTCTGCTTCGCCTATTCAATGTTTTCTTCATTAACAGAAGTTGTTGGGCGGCCTGGGATCTCATCATGGTCCAAGCTTGTATGACCGTCTTTGAACCTTTTAAACCATTCGTATACTCGTGGTTGCGACACACACTAATCAACACAAAATTTAATGCACGCACTTTGGTCTAATTTTTGATCCATTATAAAAATCGACTTTTTGTGTAGACGCCAAACAAAAACTAATTACCAAAATAGTATTTTGTGAACGAGTTAGATGAATCTTTTCCCGATTTGTAAATGGGCCGCACTCGGAACACCTAAATAATCTGAGCTATCGCTGACATCATGATAATTATTACTGATTTCTTTCTGTACTGAAATATTTATCAAAAGATGGGAAAAAATATTATTCAGTTAATGTTCATCTAAATGAAATGAACACATTTAAATTCTATTAATTGTGGAGGTATCATGATTTGTCAGTACAAACTATTACACTTTTGTACAATACATATTTTATTTTTAATATTACTTTTCTTTCATACAGAATTTACAGAATCTAAATTTTGTACTGTATAGTTCGCCAATGCATTATTTCTCATTGACTATTCGTATTTTTAAATTTTGAAAAATTTTCTTTATCATCAGCGTATGGTTACATACAGGAATTATCCTGTTCATTTCTAATATAAGCGAAATTATATCCAGTTGTTTCTTCTGCAAATATGTTATTAAATAAATTACAGTAATTGTATATATTTTAATTTACCTTCCCGTTCTAATATTTTTATATATTTATGGCATTTAATAATTTAATTCTATTAAATCATTTATTATTTCCTCAACCAAATGTGTTAATGTTTCAAGTCAGATATTATTGTGATTAATAAATATATTATATATTTCGCGGGATTTACCATTTCGTGCCTTCTGCAGCATGGCTCGCCCATAATTACATTCATCTTCAAGTCGACGATGCTCTTTCTTAACATAACTGATTTTATGTCGTTCTTCGACACGTTTGTAAGTGTTATACTTATCTGTGGTTAAAAATTTATATAGATATGTATATTTATAAAATTTTGTAATACATCAATATATTAAGATTTTCAGATGAGTCTATAATGACATAAACTAATAAAATAAAATTAGTCATTAGACCAGTGGCTCCCAAACGTTTTTTGAGCAAGGACCACTTTGATATTTTTATTCAAGAATAATAAACTCTAGAATTATGTTATGCATCTTTTGTATATCAACAATATCAGATATGCAGACAACACCATTCTCATCGCCGACAGTTTAGCAGATCTACAAGAACTAGTTAACAAAGCTTACTTAGCAGCGAAGAATTTGGACTACAAATCAATATTAATAAAACTAAATATATGATTGTAAGCAGAAAAAACATTTACACTAACACGAAGTCAATGATTAACAACATTTTCATCGAAAGATTAAAAAATTTTAAGTACCAGGGATGATATATTAATGAAAACTGGGACTGTTCCAAAGAAATAAAAAGTCGAATAGATCCAGCACGTAATACTTTATTATATATAAAAAAGATTTAACCAGTCATGATATCAATATAAAAACTAAAATTTGTTTTCTAAAATGCTGCGTTTGGTCTACACCTCTCTATGCCGTGGAAATCTGGACTTTGAAAATAGCAGATATCAGCAAGCTTGAGCTAAGGCTCTTTTAAATAATCTTTAAAATACCATGGACCATGAAGTATTGAAAGGAATGCACTTTATGAGAAATTCTAAGTACGACCTGGTACAATTTATCATACAAGGCAAAATCGATCACCTATATTCGGAAACGAATTGGCAAATAACGAAGAAAATTAAAATGACAGTAAATTTAAATCTTAATGTTAAATAATAACGGCTATTCATTATTAAAATAAATGTACATTAAACAATCCTTTTTGAAAAAACTGAAATTTTTAGTATTCAAAACACATTATTTTTATAACATCAATAATATTTTCGAACTAAGTTAGCAAACCACCGTCTAACGATCTAAGAAATGTTCGAAAAAATTTCAATGTGATTATATTTATACATTTTATTATACAGACTTATTGTAAGAGTAGAAGCCTAATTCTGTCTTAGCCAGCAATTTCAGTCCAACCTTATGACTTGTTTTCCTTTTTTCTAATCAGTTAATATTAAATGGAAAAGCTCTTACATAATGTCAGTATTTTATAAAGATGCTGTTGCAGACTATTTATTAATACTATATGTGTGCTAATTAATCATAAAAGACCAGTTGAATATATCAAAATGTCTTACCATTAAGTTCTATCATAGCTTTTAATTGCTCAGTCAAAGAACTCTGTGTCCAGACATCGTCGCTAACCATATGTTGTTTCAGATATGCCGTACCGAACAGTCCGTGGTTTCTTAAGTCACGACGAACAATACGTGGAACCGTTTTTTCTGGTTTATCCATTTTATATAATACTTTCTGAGCTAAACTGATCAAAATGATGTCATAATTGAATTATTTGTACCAAAACTTAGTTGCGGAAATAATTTTATTTAATACAAAAGTAAAAAAATAGACAGAAAACCTAAGATTGAGATTTCAAAAAATAGATTATATAAAACTAAATATCACTTACTATGTTTTTAAAACATTATTTAAAATTATTTTTAATTGCTCAAATAACATTTAATAAAATTACCATGTATTGATTTATGAATCCATCAATGGATATATCAAATATCAAATTTATAAATATCGCTCATTCTTAAGACTTTGAATAATTTCACGCACTAGAATATATTTAAAATCAAAGTATCCACGATATCTTACGTACAGTATTGAACAAAAATTTTCCTTATTGAAAATCAATTTTAATCAGGTATGTCTTTGTCATAATTATTTGCTATTTTGCAGGTAGCTCCATTATTCCATCGATGTAGAACTGTGATTCTATGGTTTATCATCGAAAAACTTGGACAATTGTTTTTAGCAACTCTTCCGTCAATCAAATTCTTAACATTAAGATAGTTTTGCAAAGATCGACACAAGTAATATTCAGTAGCTGCAAGATCCGACCTATATGATATATGCATCAAAGCTTTCTAATGAAATTTCATTAATTTGATCCCACTCATTAAAGATGTGTGTGGACTGTTATTGTCATGATGGAGTACAATTCTAATTTCAAGTTGTGAGTAGTAGATGACCGAATTAGTATTTGAAGCAACTTAAAACAGCTTGTTATAGACAATTCCAAATTCCATCAACACTTAACACAATCTTATTTGCCTTCGTTCCAGGCTTCGTTCCAGTTGTTTGTCGAACATCACCTGCGCTTAACCATGACTGTTTGCGTTAGATATTTTCATATTTAATTCATTTTTCATTATTTGTAATGTTTGTTTTTAAAAAAAAAAATTCGATTTGCTTACATTTCGGCAACACTGATTGTAAATCAGTCAATAAAATTTTGGCGTTATTTTATGTGATAACCAAACATTGAGCGTTTTTGCGTAGTCTGCTCTTCTTAAATGATTAGAAACTGTTATGTAAAAGAATAACAGACATGCATCTTTACACCAAATTTTTCAAAACAGAATCTAGCATATCACTCCTGGGTCCAGCGCTCACTTACAGCACCCTCACCGTAAACCGCATAAATGTTTCGGTATGTTTATGCAGCAAATTCCCCATCTTTGCAGTAATAAGGCGTCTTATAGATAGTACCAACATCATCTAGTGACAGAAAACTAAAGATACTTTGTAAATTACCCAATATATTCCAATAACCAGTCTGCAATTTTTTATTCTACATCATGCAATCAAAGTATTGAGCTGAGTGCAGTAAACTATATGGTAACATCAAGAATACTAAATTCAAAAAAAAAAATACTTGCATTTAGTATTCTTGATAACATTATATGAATATACAAGTCTCTTTCTCTCGTTAAGAGAGACTTTTAAGCTTTAAGCTTAAATTTAACGGAGGTTAGCTTAAAAATACCAATTTAATAAATGCAAATAAGTAATGATAATTAAATTACATACAATCTCAAGAAAGCATTGTTTATAATCAAGTGGATTCGGAGGACCTAATGGAACTAAATATATATAAGTATACGATTGTGTTGAATGGCGGTGTAAATAATTACATCCTCAAGAAATAAGCAATTGAATGAAATAAGCCAGTGAAAGTTCTCGATCTTAAATAAAGCCTTAAGTATCTTTGTCCCAAAAACTAAAGGTGAAACTGCATCTTCACACAATCTCAAATTTTTATTTAAAGTTTTGATTGAAAGGTGCAAAAAGTTAGCCCAGGAGTATGTAAAAATATGTACGCATGTCATTTTTAGAAATGTATTGGGAACACTTGCAACATATTCTGAAAAAATAAATTAAAATAGAATAGTAAGGGAGAAAAATTGAAAATTTAATTACCGAAATTTTCAACTGTGCTACGATGTATAGCTATATCACTATCGTTCACACAAATTAAGCGTATATACTTTCACGACTTTTATTTATTGTTTTTAACTATAACCGATTTTATCTCACATATACAGGTCGTTTCGTATTAAATTCCCCTAACTAGGAGAGCTGATTCCTTGATGCAAGCAACAGAAAAAACTGAATAAGCAAAAATCCCTCACCCCTTTATATCTACCACTCTGCATCTTCATATACAGACTGGTAGAAAGTTAATGGTAAGGACTGCTTCACAACAATAATTAATATATAATAATTGTAACTAACTACTTGATCTTTCAATCTGTAATTTTTTTTTCATTTGTCATTATTTCATATAATTATTGCTAAATAAAATAAAAAAAATATTTAATGATAATTAGTGAAACAGTAAAACAATTTAATACAGTTATTTTCTGTAACTATTGTCTACAATTTATATCTGAGAACATAGTGGAATACATTTTACAATTTATTTTATACTTTTTTAATATTTTTTTTATTTATTTTTTCATATATTTTTTTATTTTATTTTTTATTTAATATTTTTAAAATTTTTTTTTTAAATATTTTTCTAAATTTTTTTTTTAATATTTACATAAATTTATGAAATTTCTTTTAAATTTTTAATTTTCAAATTATTTGCACATTTAATTATCTTCGTTTGAGTTTGGAATTTTTGAAGATTTTTCTTTTCAAAAATTAAGCAATTTCTCTAATGACTCAATATTATTTCGTTTTTTATTGTTATTTTCCATTTTTCATAGCAAAAGTAACTTATTTATTATACTGAAGATATATATAGATTATTGTAGCTTATAATCTTTAAGATTTCTTCAGTATAATAACTAAGTTACTCCTTCGGTGTGACATAATAACAATTATTCATCCTTCTTATTATGTTCATCCACTATTTTCATACTTTGCACTTTCATTTGCTTACGGTTCTGTGCAGCTTGCACCATCTTAGTGAAAATCTCCCACTGCTCATCTTCTTCAATTTTATGTGCCGCTTCTTCTTTTTCTATGTCTTCTTCTTCAGCAACATTAGTTATATCTATATATTCATTATCATAAGCATCAATTATTTCGGCAAAGTCTTCAGGTGTGACATTTTCATTAAACAATTGCACAACGGTTTCCATTTTTTTCTTGATAACATTAAGTAGTTTTGTAACTGAAAAAGAATCGAGTAATGCATATATTATAATCGGTTATTTCACGAAATAAGAGTTTAAAATTAGTTTTCATATGTAAATTATAGCACATTATTTATTTCTTAAAATCTATTTTGTGCTCACCATTTTCTTCTATATATATAGGTGGCACTGCACGCATATTTATCATCTCAAATCTTAACAACGGAAGTGATAGCTCATTTGTCGGATAAGATTGTTGCATAATACGTGGTGGTCGACCCACATACCATAAAATATCATTCAATTTCCAAAGCATAAGTCTAAGTTCAACAACAATATCATTACGATTTTTCATATAGTCTATAATCTCTATTTCTTTCTGTTTCTCCTTTTCTAATCTTTCTTCTATGAATAAAATAATGCTATTGCGACTAAAATAAAAAATAATAATAACTCATAAAGGAAATAAATTATTGGGTAAACAGTTAAAACTTACTGGATTTGTTCAGGGCCTTCCTTGTTCAGTAATGTACCTTCATATACAGCCGCACGTTTCATTTTTATTTCAAGATTACGATGACCAATCGTATCCAGTCCAATCTTCTTCAATAGTTTTGTATTGTTGTCAATCTGCGACTTGATTCTGCAAAAAAATATTTTTAGGATTATCTGAAATATGGACACATAATCGTCAAAATCATTTATTTAAATAATTAAGTCATGCATTGAAAATGTATGACCACAAAACCAATAGGAAATAAACACCCTATGGAATTTTATATTTACCCAAGTGGTTGTACCAATCACGAAGTTAATCCCTTCACTTCACTCACGTACGCCGTAAGCATTTTAATTAGCACAAAAACATACATAAAAATAAATATAGTGCTTACACGACTAAAGGAAATATTCTAAAACTAAAAAAAATTATGGCGATCCAATGAACTCAGAAGGCAGACCAAACTGTGAATCTTTAACACAATTGCGACTTCTTTCTTGTACTAAGGGCTGCGAAACATGGAAGCACTCCAGACATATAAAGAAAAAGATGCAAGTGTTTGTCAACAAATATCTACGTATAATTCTAATGGAATATAAAATGAACGCCTGCTAAAAGAAACAACTCAAAAAGCAGCAAGACCTAAGATAAAAATGAAAAAATAGAATAGGATAAGCAATACGGTTGTGGCATAGAATTTACAAGGTAAAAGAAGGCCTGATGCATCAGCGAAAACGTTGAGAAGAATGGTTAAAAATGAGCTAGCTGAAGCACGTTATACATGGAACGCCATCTATAGACCAAATAGCACTAAATGTTCGATTTAGAAGAATTATTGAGACCCTATACCCCACTAGGGGAAATGGACAAAAGTAGGGAAAGTAGGAAAAAAATAGTGGTTTGGTAGTTATATATTATTATTGTAAAAAAGTTATAGTTATAGACCAATGAAATATCCAAAGTGTCAAGGATTTAATTTACAGACACAAATTCGAACATAAAACATACTGAGAGAGAATTGAGCATTTTAAAATAAAATTGCGTTAGAGCTAGAAGTTTCTCTAAATCAGTATTGCCTAGTGGACCATTTAAGGAAGTCAATTTGAAATTAACTTCATGCTAATTTCGAAGTTATGATGACGAGGGCAATTGACAGTTTAAGCAGAAATTTGAATTTAAACTTTTAAGAGAAGATAGTGATGTTATATTATCCCACCGTTATTATATTATTGTCCATTTTTTTTTTTTAAAAGGGGGATCAAAATTGTTCTTATAAAATAAAACATTTCTATATGTGTTATGTAGAGGATATAGAAATTTGTAAAAGTCTTATGTGGATCATATCACAAAAAGATTACAAATCACTGCACAAAACTTATATTAACGGTCACATATATAGATCTATAACATTTATACTTTATGCTGCACCAAACTTCGATCGTGCCAATCCTAGTAATAGTAATCATATATAATAACATAGATTTCGCAGGTTGATAAAACAGATATAAAAATATAGTCGAAATACGTATACATAAAAAATGGGATAAGATTCATTTGCAAAATATATAAAAGTAATTAAAATTAAGTACACTAAACCATATATTCAATAGTACTTCAAATGGAACTAAAAATATTGCTAGAACCTTAAAAAAAGCATTACTTATCATTGAAAACAGTACATCTTTAACTTAAATTCAATGACAGACTCATTAAAAGCGTGGTTTGGTGATAAATAAATTCCTCATTAGCAAATAGAAAAATGTTGTGTTCCAAAAGATTGTGCTTCATATTTAATACATAGTAAAGCATTTAACTGAAAAAAAGTACATATGTATATTCAACTTATTCACGATTGTACAAATGTTATAGTTCTACCAAAAAAGGTAGGACTTGGGAAATCGCTTTAAGGGAAACACTATTTCATACAATTAAAAATTGATTCTTGAAAATACATCGATAACTTTTAAAGTGTAAAACATATCAACAAACTTTTTTGTCTCAACAACATTTTAGTTACTTGCAACCAATCAATAGGTCTTTCCGTGACGTATGTTACCTAAACTACACCTTACTACATGTCGTCTATATGTTCTTTCAGTGTACAAAAACTTATATAATCTCCTTATACTCTCATACACAATTTCCTTTCTTATTACTTTATTCGCCATCAAAAATTCTATACTCATTCCCATCTTTCACACCAGTTACTCCTTCCCTGGCATAGTGAGTTTAAAGTACCTTCTGCTTGGTGAGTCTTCTGAAAGTGTCATTTTATAACAACAACGGTATCCCACTCTTATCTTACTTAACCTATAATAATCAACCTATTTTCAAAACTTGTTTTGCAACTCCATTATAACTTATATATAGTTACTTAATTTTAAAGAAGTAGAAAATTATGTTATATATATGTTATAATAGAATAATAGAATTTTAAGTAACCTTGGAAATATTTCTCGAGCTCGGGATGAAAGTGTTGCAGTTTTAATTTCTCTGACCATGTTACTAACTGCAGTTAACTCATTTTTCAAAAACATCATCCTATTTGTTTCTCGTACGTAACGTCTTTCCTGAGGAGCTGCACTCATTCTCATTGTTGTTCTACGTATTGCAACAGCCGCAGTGGGCTCGGGTTTCTTTGCATTGAGAATATCATGCATGGCCTGCTGAAGTTCTTTCTTATATTTCATATCTAATGTCTGAGGAAAAATATTATTTATTTAAGTATTCATTGATACATTAAGAAAAATCTTTAAAATTTACCCGATACTCATCATTTAACACTCTATATCTAGTTATAGCTGGCGAACCAATATGTAATATATGTTTAATAAATGTAGCTTGATCGTCAATATCATCAGTAAGTGAGTTCAATATTGGATCGTAAAAAATTTCATCATGCCTTAGAACATGTATAACTTTTTTATAAGCGCTGTTAATAGTTTTAATTGCTTTAAAGCGTATCTTCGAGTTCTCGAGCTGTCGAATTAACGATTTGATTTTTTTCTCTTCGGGCAAACGGAAATCCTCTTGATTCTCTATACGATTTAAGACCTCATAACACTTGTACTAAATCAAAAAGTATATGATGTTATATTTGTTTTGGGTTTTGGGTTAAACATTTTGTATTCTTACTAATATGTTTTTATACTCGACTTTAAGATTTTTACAGCGATATTTTAGACGGTCCCGTTCTTTGCGCAAGACAAAGGTACGCTGATTAATGTTTTCCGCAACCAAGTGTTCGGGCATACTTTTGTATAAGCGCTGCATGTCCTTGTGACTTATGAAAATGTTATGTATTTGATTAAAATTACCATTGACTGCCTTTTGTAAGTTTGCCCGTCCAGCACGACATTCGTTTTTAAGACGGCGATTTTTTTGCGCAGCAGCAGACCACCTGTTACGTTTTTCCATTTTTAGGTAAGTTGTTCGCTTACCTATAATATAAAATGATAACACAATATGTATTTGTATCTATCAATTATTCTACCGATCATTAACAGCAATAATAGAAAGTTTTGATCTAAGAAAACATATATAGACATGAAGTTTTTACTTTACTTAACTCAAATATGCAATGAAGAATATTAATATGGGCACTCATGCTGATTGTAATCTTGACAGTAGTTTCAACTGATTCAGTAGATATTTATTTAGTTTAGTACTTGAAACTATAAGAGAAAAGCTAAGACTTACGAATAATATCTGTATAAGTTAATATTATACAGACTTTCTTTTAATTTCCTTGAGTCACTTATGGCTTATAGTTATAGATGTTAATAAAGCACGATTTAATTGTGATTGTTATTTGTATAGCTTCCTACAAAACTGGACAAGCTTTAGATAATCCTATCTTGTAAACAATAACAACTGCAGGGAAGAAAGTTTTAGGAGTTGTATGGTGGATATTAGAATCAAGTAGAATTAGATGTTTATTCATTGTAAAGTAGAACCAAGCCAATATTTATTGCGAAAATTATCATTAGTTCGTTTTTATGAGCAATTTTATTGCGCTCATTTAATTTATATACTATATATACTTCTCTAGAACGTATTTCCAAATAGTGTCTAGTATATGACTAGTATATATGACTAGTATATTACTCACCAAGCAGTTCTGACATAGTATGAAACTCATCAATCAAAGAATCCAGCGTCCATGCATCATCTTTTATCATATGCTGCTGTATAAAGGTCATACCAAAAAGACCATGGCTTTTGATATTACGTGGATGAACTGGCTTAGGCGGATTCTTATCTGCTTTCGTCATGTTTGCTGATTTTAAAAAATTGCTGATTCAATTAATATTAAAACGTCGCCGAATGACACTTGCCAAATATTTGTCCTCTCACAAATTTTGTATAAATATATATAAAAAATTATAAAAGTATAAAAAACTAGAAAATATGAAACAACAAATGTTTGTATAAAAAAATTTTGATTTTTATTTATTATATTATAAAAAATTTTTTAAATTAAAATCTACTTACCTACTATGTTACATTTTGCATAGAAAGGCAACTGATTAAAGAAATATTTAAAGTTTTTTGTCAAATTTGTGGTTATCTTGTTTTTAATAAGATAATTAATACTAAGTTACCTTCAGTACCTATTTTAAAACCTCTATAGTTTTCTGTGATCACAATGAAGTTCAGTTAGTTACTTTAAAACAAACTGCCACAACTACAATTAGAGACATTTCCCTAATTAATTGTGAAAGATATAGTAATGCCCAAACATCCGCTGAAAACAGTTTTCTGGTATTGATTACCTATACCATAATTTCGAACTATTGTAGTAGTTAGTTAGTTAGTTAGTTGTGGTGGAGGGAGGACGAATCCTCCTCAAATAGCTAAGGATGAAAGCCGTTTTGAGTCCACAAAAACCTCGTAAAAGTGGGTAGTAGATAGAGAGTCAAACTAGAACCAACCAGAGGCATTAACAAAGGCAAGAATCTGGCCAATGCTGATGCTGGAGATATCGCTAAGTGAGTTGAAGAAAGGGGCCCCTAGAAACTTAAACCTAGTTCTGGCCAGACCCGGACAAAAACACATCAGGTGTTCTGGTGTCATTTCTTCAAGTGTTGGTAGACACGCACTACATGAGGTACCACAGGAAAGGCCAAGTCTGGCTCCATGCCGTCCTATGGACCAGTGACCCGTAAAGATAGATACTAGCTTAGAAACCTCAGATTTATTTCCACAGAATAAGTCAGAGGTTCTATATTTGGAATAAATGGGCCAAGTAGCCCTTGACCTGGCTGCTGACAGAGTAAGGGTCCACTCACTATTTGCCTTTCGCAAAAAATGGTCACAAATTAGCCTACGCCCGTAGCTGACAGGGGCAGGGATCGAAATAGGGGTACCCGTGGAAGAGGCGCCTAGCCTAGCAAGCTCGTCGGCGCGCCCATTTCCCACAATATTAGAATGCCCGGGAACCCACACTAGAGTAACCTTGGACCTCTCACTTAGTTCAGAAATAATTTCCTTACATTCTTCTACTAATCTTGATGACAGACAGACTGCTGATAAAGCTTTAATAGCTGCCTGACTGTCAGTTAGAATACAGACCTCTTTTCCGTGAAGGCGCATATTTAAAGCAAGAACACATGCCCTAAGGATGGCAAAAACTTCAGCCTGAAATATTGAGGTGGAATCTGAGAGGTGGTATGATTTACTAATCATTAGGTCCGTAGAAAAGATTCCGGCTCCAACGCCCTCATCCATTTTAGACCCGTCGGTGTAGATCGCTATCTTTCCTAGAGTTGTAGGCAAACCCGCCTCCCAATCTCCTCTTGAAGGAATTATGGTGGCGAAGTTATTATCGAATAGTAACCGAGGACATAGGTAGTCTGAAACCCTGACATCATCTATCGGATAGAGTGATGCGATATTACCATGTCCTAAAGCACTCGAGCGCCAACAGTTTAGATCATTAAGCCTCTGCGCGCTGAGAGTAGCAGCTTGCTTGATGTAAATATCAATAGGTAGCAAGTTAAGTATTACATTGAGCGCACTGGTGGGGCAAGATCTTAAAGCCCCAGTGGCTCCCACACAGGCAGATCTTTGCATTCTGGTTAGTCTTTGAACAATGCACTGTTTGTTCAATGAAGGCCACCACACCAGACATCCATATGTTAATATTGGCCGAACGACGGCTGTGTAAAGCCAGAGAATCACTTTGGGCTGCAATCCCCAGCTCTTGCCGTACATCCTTTTGCACGCATAGAAAGCCACACAAGCTTTCTTTCGTCGATGTTGGCTTTCCAGTTAAGTTTTGTGTCAAGAATTACTCCTAGATACTTAACTTTGTGCGAAAGAGTTAATCTTTGGCCATTTAATCTTGGCAGCGGAAAGTTAGGAATTTTATATTTTTTGGTAAACAGTAACAGTTCTGTCTTAGAAGGATTAACACCTACGTCACACTTTGAGGCCCATTTACTAAGGTTCATAAAAGCGCCCTCCATGATACTACTCAGCACCGAAGGGAACATGCCTGTTACCAGAAGGACAACATCATCCGCATACGCTACTGCTTTGACTCCACCCTGGTTAAGCCTTAAAAGCAGTGAGTTCATTGTTAAAATCCATAGTAAGGGAGATAACACTCCCCCTTGTGGTGTACCCCTACTGACGCACTTCCTAATGCTAAGATTGCCCATCTCTGCATTGATGATTCTAAACCCAAGCATAGAAGCGATCCATCGGGAGATACAGGCCGGGATGTTCATTTCGCTGAGAGCATCCTGAATGGCTACCACACTGACGTTATTAAAAGCTCCCTCTATATCCAGGAAGGCGGCTAAGGTAAATTGTTTACATCCAAGAGATTTCTCCACCACAGTGACGACCTCATGTAGTGCCGTTTCTGTGGACTTACCTTTGAGATATGCATGTTGAGCCCTTGATATTTTAGCGAAACTGTGTAAAGATCTGATGTGAGCATCGATCAGTCTTTCCATAGTTTTAAGTAAGAATGAAGTAAGGCTGATGGGTCTATAATCTTTAGCCGTACTATGGCCTGTTCTACCTGCTTTTGGAATAAAAACTACTCTAACTTGTCTCCAGCCGCTGGGGACATGATTAAGTGAAAAGCAGCTACAGAAAATCGCGTACAGCCAATTTACAGCTACATCTCCCAGAGATTGTAACATAATTGGTAAGATCCCGTCAGGACCCGGACTTTTATATGGAGAGAATGAATCGATGGCCCATTTGATCCTTCTAGATGATACCACTGACTGTATAGTCTCGCCAGAATTGGCTGAACGATACGGCAATACCTTTGGGGGATCACCCGAGGAACCAGGAAAATGGGTATCCACTAATAGTGAGAGGGATTCCGTTAGGGATTTAACTGGATTTCCGTCTACTTTGTTAATGAGCGAGGGACAAGATTGCCCATTTGCTAGCAATTTGGCTAGTCTAGCCGATTCTTTAATGCTTTCAATTTGCTGGCAATGAGAATTCCATGACAATTTCTTGGATTCCCGAAGTGCTTTTTTGTAAACCCTAAGAGCATCTTTATATGGAGTCCAAACCTTAGTCCGATAGCTTTCGTTGAAGGCTCTTCTCGCATTCCTGCGGAGCAAAGAGAGCTTCTCGTTCCACCATGGTGGCCTACACTTCTTCGCATACGAGCGAGGACATGATGCTTCAAAGGAAGAAATAATATTATTTGTCAAAGAGTTGACCCTGCACTCCAATTCCCTAATCGAGTTAATTGGAGCGGGGGCTATGTTGATTTTTCTATTGAGCAAAGACCTGAAAGTATCCCAGTTTGTCTTCCTGGGATTACGGTGAGATTAAATGCTGTCTGGGAATATTCATCACAAACATGATATATCTATGATCAGAGAAGGAGTTCCTGGTTGAAACTCTCCAATCATTGATCGTTAAAGAGCACGAAGTCGAACAAAGGGTAATATCTAAAACCTCTTCCCAGCCTACACGATCATCCGTACTCGGAAAAATGAAGGTGGGAGTGTTACCCTTATTACATACTTCTAGATTACATTTTAATATAAAATCAAAAAGAGACTCACCTCTATCGTTAATTTCCGAGCTTCCCCACAAGGAGTGCCGGGCATTGGCATCACAACCCATCAGCAAGGCTAGCTTCTCGGTCTGCGCGAAATTTTGGACTAGTAGTACCCTCATGGAGGTGCCTCATCGTCGTGTGGCATGTAGGCGGATGTTACCAAAATCGCAGGTTTTAGCTTCCGCTCTATCCGGATGGTGGTTATATCTAAAGAACTTAAGTGAGAGCAGAGAAAAGCATTAAGGTGCGTTTTTGCTAAAATGCACGATCTAGGCTTACCCTGTCCTTTGTCATAAAAAAGATTATACCCATTGATGTTGAGCCCTTTGACACATGAGCTATGAACCCAGGGCTCTTGGATGATGGCAAGGTCGATGTCCTCCTCCCTGAGTAAGACAGCCAAATTATCCGTGGCACATTTAGAGTGTTTCAGGTTTATCTGCACGACCTTGGCCATTAATACATCAACAAGGTTTGCTATCGATGATGAGGTCATCTAGCAGCTTACTAGTGCCCTCAACCTCATCCAGAATATTATCCGGTGGCGCGTTTTTAAAGATTTTAATTTTTGCCTTCCGGATGCCGTAACGCAGCTTGCAGTCATTAGCCTCAATGACTGGCAAGCATTCTTCGTTGATAAGAAGTAAGTACGATTGGCTGTGTTTTTGCGGTTCTTCGGTCTTGAGAACCGACCAGTCTTCCATCAGGATTTCTGGATTTTGTAGCTTTAGCTGCTGCAGAATAAGGTCAGGAGGACCAAGGTTTTTG